ACTAGAAGGAACGTAAGACTTTGCAAACTACTATTGATTCCTTATTAGTGTGGAAGCGAACATGGTCGGGTCATTTCAGGATATGAAACCTAGCAATATCGAATATGAATTACATGTCAAATTAGTAAAATCCCAAATCTCTAGTAGAAGGAAACATCATGTGCTATTACATATGCAATACTTGTGCAAACTATTTTCGAGGCCTCTTTTGAGTGGAAGTGAAGCATATTCTTTTGAATTTCACATCGCTGGTAGAAGGAAACATGTGCTATATATGTGCAAGACAATATGTAGTTGTAAATAAATTTCATTCATTACGACATTGACAAGGTGATAAATTAGAGCAATTGAAATATCTATCGTAAATCTATTTATTTATACTTATATATTCTTCACGTACTTAATTCTCGATGACCATCTCAGTACATAAAATTTTATATTAATAAATGATTGTGAAATATTCGTTTGCTTCAATACGTTTCCAGTTACCTTATTTAATGAACTTAAACTTTTCAGTAAAATTATAAATGTTTATTAATACTTACACAATAAAAGCTATCTATACTATTGAGATCAAAGTAGCTACATCGCTATGGGGATGTTATAACATAATAAAGGTGTAGTCACAAAAATTCTTATTTTAAACTGATCGTTTTAAGCACTATAAAATTAAGGACCTTCATGTCGATGAATAGCAAGTTAGAATGGAAGTGTATGAGAAAGTCAAAGAGTCAGTCATGCAGAATTGAGTAAATAGATTCAACAACCTCACCATACTAATCGAATGGATATAATGTCTTAATCATCCAAATGAGTAACAAGTCATATATGCTCTAACATGCTAGAATTCTAGAAATATTTTGGCTTTAAAAAGAAGGTGTTCATGTTAATAAGTTGTTATGTACCCGCAAGTTCAAATCATTATGCCAAACAAACTTTAGATCTCAAAAATTTAATACCTGTTTGAGCCCCCATTATTTCCCAAGAATGTATTTTGAAATAGTAGATTGATAGATAATGTGTGATTAAAAAATAAGGAAAAGTTTTGAATTTGCGTATAATAATATTTTATTGAAAAATGTGCGATTGAAAATAATGAATAAACAATATTTTTTTGGTAATAATATGAATCAAACAATCTCTTAATTTAACATAGCATATATAATTATTACTATATTGGGGCAAGTTTTCTTGAGACGCTAATGTGGAGTTTATTCTTATTTACAATGGCCTCAAGTTTGATTACAAAAATTTTTATGACTACGAAGAAATTATTCCTCTATATAGAATATAACTATAGAAATGATTTGATGAATCTTCAACAAAAATCAACAATTATTTTTATTTTTATTTTTTTGTATTCACGTACCCATTTCTCGGTCTCTCAGCCTCGTCTACTATCAATTAATCTTAAGCATATAAATCGTTATTTTTAGTTTAAACTTAATTATTTTGAATATTCAATCAATTTAGACTATGTTGAAAACTTTAATATCGTGTTTCGCTGCAGTACAATTGACAATTTTCAATTTGTCTAAATGTAATGTGGATTTTACAATAAGAAAAATGCTTGTTGCACATTACCATTCACATAATATTTTATAGATTAATGATATGTTCAATGGATGAAAATTGAAAATAATCCATTAAAGTAATTTTTGAGATTGGATGTTATATTGTAGCTAAATTTAATTTTATTAGTTTTGTATTGGAATAATTTACAACTTAAAAAGTTTTAAAAATACTTGTGTAATTTTGTTGGTTGTGGATGGATTTTTTTCTTTTTTGAGAGAACTTCACAAAAGAGAATAATGAATTCAATTTAATGATAATTAGGCAAGACTAGATGAATGAGAAAGAAAAAAATAATTTCTTAGATGAAAATGAAATAGTAATTGAACTTTTGGAGGAATAAAAATTGAATAATGCTAATTGTATATAAGGAGTAATTATATAATGATTTACATAAGGAGATGATGTGTCAAAAAGTGAGAAAGTGAAAGTTTTATTATTATTATTATTATTATTATTATTATTATTATTATTATTATTATTATTTGGTTGAAGAATTTCTAATTCAATAATTGGTATATAAAGTGTTATGTAATATAATACAAAAGGCATGATTTGTTATTTTCAATTATGAAAATTTCGGTCCATTTAGCTATTTTAAATGACAAAATTTTGTAACTTTTGTACAAATCACATTTTTTATTATTTGCACCATATTTTAATTGTAATGAATGTCTTCAAAATTTTTTTTCCAGTTATATTCTTAACTCTTTTATTATTATTATTATTATTATTATTATTATTATTATTATTATTATTATTATTATTATTATTATTATTATTATTTATTTATTTATTTATTTATTTATTTTTGCTTCATTTCATTTCTGATGACAATTTTATTTTTCCAGATTTTCTATCAATGTGCATTGAATTGAGGGACAAATATTTTTTTAAAGCTTTTGTATTTTGATATTTATTTTGCACATTTAAAAATGCGCGAATTAAATAAGTCTTTATGCTAGCTTAGCAATTTTTTGGATGAAAATATAATCATAGACAAGACATGAAACCTAATAAAAGATTGATGATGAGAATGTGATGGAAAAATAAGAGATATAAGTGTAAAAATTAACAAAAATCGAGGATTTCATTGCAATTAAAATTTAATGTAGTTAACAAAATATGTGATATAATTACTCAATGTAATATGTGAAATGTAAATTAAAAATACAGTTTATAAAGTTTAGTATAGCCTAATGGAGGTGTATTTTGTAAAATTGTCTAAATAAAATTACATTTTTCGCTTTTCTTGTTTAATTTTAATTTTAATTTAATTTAATTTATTTTAATTTTTTTTGAGTGCAGTCCAATCTAACTTGAGAAAGATTGACCTTTGTTTTTGGCATAAATGGCATCGCCAACTATAGCCTCCATGAAATCGAATTGAAACCAAAATGAAACTCCTAAACCAACTTAAAAATAGTTAGAATTCAATCTCAATTCCCCAATTCCAAAACCCTAATCCAAATTGAATCTCCATCTCTTCCCCATCTTTCTAGTTTCAAATGAAAATCACTTCACTTCCCACCATAGTTATTAAACCCGGACCAGACCGGCCGGTTCTAACCGGAAACCGTTGAACCGGACCATGGTCCGGTCCGAATCAGCTCAAATTTTAACTATGTTGCTGCCCCAAGAAAAACCCTGATGAACCGCCGGTTTTCAATTGAACCGCTGGCCCAATTACAAAAGAAACCGCCCGGTCCATATATATTAAAACCTGACACCAAATTCTCATTCTCAAATCTCATTCAGATTCAAAATCGAGAGCCCTAAGCAGAGCAGCCCGGTAGCCGTCCTTCGCAACCATCAATTTCACTCCCAAAAATCCAAAAGCATCAAATTTCAAGTTGTTATTAGATGGAAGAAGAAGATGTAAGTTTAAATTTTATGATTTTCTTTGTAAATTTCAGTTTTTTGTCCTCAAATTATGGAAACTCAGTAAATGGTTGGACGATTATTCTCAAATAAATAGATAGGTGGAAGTAAAATTTATTGATTTCTGGAAACAGGAAGTTTCCAAGTAATCACGTTTTGTAGTTTGGTGCGACTGCACCTTCTCAAACATTTTTTTAATTGCCTATGTACATTCTGTAGAAATTTTACCAATGAAAGTAGAAACAATGTTTGTAGCAATGTACAGATTGTGACTGTACCTTCTCAATTTTTTTTTAATTCTGATTTTGTCTTATTATTCATGTCATGACATTTGACAAATATTTTCGTGCATATATATTGTGAGGGATAATATTATTTACCAATTGAAGAAAGTGAAAAGCCATCCTACTGAATTTAACTTAACTGCAGAATTGAATTATATTAGCTCTAATTAAATTTTGTTCTTATACTCGAGAGGATGATTATTCTCAAATAACTACTGGTTTCAACTTTCAAGTTCTCCATCAGTTTCTGTATTTAATTTGTTTTAGTATTTTTGTTTTTCGATTTTATTTTTGTAAAATTCCATTAATCGTATGTTGATCAATTGTTGTTATTCAGTAACTCAGTTATAGCTGATTAGCTTTGTAAGTCTGCTTCAATATCTGTTCGGGTCTTCCTCTCACGTCCATTTCCTACAATTGGTCATTAAAAATGCATCATTTATTTGGCTATGAGTGCAGAATTTGTAGTGCTTTTGAGTAGTTGACTGTAAATAGAATTTGCAGAATTATCAGAAAGTTTATCTTTCTCCACACAATTTATAGAGGGTTAGAGAGTAGAAAGGTGAGATGGAGAAGTTTTAATATTCGGTTGAATCATTTGGTGTTGCAATTTCTTAATGTTTCCCATTGTTTGTGGTTCTCCTAATGATATATAATTCAATATGAGTTTGTGTCTTTGTATAGTTCACTGGTGATGATAGTATACTACATTCTTCTCTACCAAAAAGTAATGCTAGAGGAAAGACGGATATATAATTCATGGTGATGATAGTATACCACATGCTTCTCTACCAAAAAGCAATTTCTTAATGTTTCCCTTTTTTTTAAGTACATGTGCTGTAACGTTCAAATTTAAAACTCTTTTCAGAAGAATTACATTTTGATGATCTTGACCTGGATTGTGATAGAAACGATGACAACGGAAATGTTAATGGAAGTGATACAAGAACAAGCATTTCCTTGATGTTAATAAGAAATTGCTTGAGTTGCCTATGTTCATTAATTTTTCAATGGTGAACAAGCATGATATATAGTTTTTTTTTTCCTTTGTATAGTTCACTGGTGACAATAGTACACCGCATAGTTCATCTCCACTAAAGATTCGTGCTAGAGGAAAAACAGATATTGCATGGGGTCATTGTAAAGAGATATTAGAAGCTAGTAATAATGGAAATAAAAACAAAAAAAAAACTCGTTTGCTTGTATTGTGGAAAGACTTTCGCTGGAGGTGGTATTAATCGAGTCAAACAACACTTAGCGGGAATGAAAGGTGACGTTGATTCATGTTGTAAAGTACCTCCGGATGTTAGATTCAAAATGAAAGAAAACTTGGACGTCTTTGTTGCAAAGAAGCGTAAAACTCAAGAAATTCTTGATGAGTGTAACCCACATAGTTCTTACTATCGGGAAAAAGAAGAGCAAATGTATAGAGATTTGGGTGATGATGATGATGTTCAAGAAATCATCCCTCCTAATTCTAAAGGAAAGGGTACAGTTGTTGGGAAAAATGAAAGAAAGGAAAGGGGAATAAAACCCTTAAAGCAACAAAATGGAATTGGTTCTTACTTCATGCCAAGAACAGGTCTTGGTAACCAACCTACTATCAAAAGCGTTCTTCAGAGCAAAGAAGCCATAGAAAAGTGTGATCTTACTCTATCGAAGTGGATGATTGATTCATGTATTCCTTTCAATGCTGTAAATTCTGTGTATTATCAACAAAGTATAGATGCCATAGCTAGCATGGGCCCTGGCTATAAAGGTCCAAACTTTCATAGTCTTCGAGGTTATTTGTTGGCTAAAAATGTCAAGGAGGTACAGAATTACGTTGAAAGCTATCGTTCAACATGGAAGACTACAGGTTGTACAATTATGGCAGACGGTTGGACAGATCAATGTAGAAGAACTCTCATCAATTTTTTAGTTTATTGTCCAAAAGGAACAATATTCTTAAAATCCGTAGATGCTTCAAATGAATCAAAATCTGCTAACATGTTGTACAAATTATTTCGAGATGTTGTGTTATTTGTAGGTTCGGAATATGTGGTCCATATGGTGACAGACAACGCTGCAAATTATGCTGCCGCTGGTAGGTTATTGGAACAAGAGTTTCAAACATTATTTTGGTCTCCATGTGCAGCTCATTGCATTAATCTAATGTTTCATGATATTGGTAAGCTTGATGAAGTTAGTAATATCGTATCTCAGGCATCAAAAATCACAAAATACATATACAATCATTGCTACCCATTGCATTTGATGAGAAAGTTTACTGGAGGAAAAGAAATACTTCGACCTGCTCCTACTCGTTTTGCCACCAATTTTATTGCTTTACAAAGCATTTTGATCCAAAAGGATCCATTAAGAGCAATGGTAACATCTAGAGAGTGGACATTATCAGCATATGCAAAAGAAAGTAAAGGAAAAAGATTCGTTGATGATGTACTTGATCCAGTATTTTGGAAAGAGTGTGCTACTATTGTGCAACTTACTGAGCCCCTTGTTCGTGTTCTACGCATTGTTGATAGTGACGAAAAGCCTTCAATGGGCTACTTGTATGAAGCTATTCATGTGGCAAAAAGTGAGATGGAACGCAGATTTCAAAGAAGGAAAAATAGAATTGCTCCTTATTTACAAATTATTCAGAACCGATGGGATAGTCAATTGCGTAAGAATCTTCATGCTGCTGGACATTGGTTAAATCCTTCTTTTCAATATGATAATCTTGATATGGAAAATCATAAACAAACTATTTCGGGACTTTTAGATGTAATTGAGAGATACGCTTACGATCAACCCGATTTAAGAAGTAAATTGACGGGTGAAATGAGACTATTTAGGCAAGCACAAGGTGATTTTGGACGTTTATCTGCTGTAGCTGATCGCCATAAAATGGCTCCTGGTAAAATTTTATCCTCATATTATGTACTTTGTTATATTATATAACTCAAATTTTTAGTTTATATAACGTACATTTATTTTATTTTTATTTTTTTAATACAGATGAATGGTGGATGTGTTATGGTAGTAGTGCACCAAACCTGCAAACGCTTGCAATTCGAGTATTAAGTCAAACATGTAGTTCTTCAGGATGCGAGAGAAATTGGAGTATGTTCGAACACATTCATTCAAAAAAGAGAAATAGACTCGAGCATCAACGGCTTAATGATCTTGTTTATGTTCACTACAATTTACGATTGCAACAACGGTAATATTATGTCAATAATTGTTTTCATCATATTGTGATTTATTTGATTTTAAGATTTTGCATTCTTCTGCTAGAATAATATTTGATTATTTATAAAATGGATTATACACTTTGTACAGGAATTATTTCAAGAGTCGAAATTATGATCCTATCGACTTTGAAAAGTTTGGCATCTATGGTAATTGGGTGTGAGAGGAAGAGCCACCAACTTTGGTAGAAGATGAGTTGGAGGTATTTCGTCGTGAATTGGGTGAATGTACTATACAAAGTGACAAAAATGACGGTAATTGTTCGATTAATGCGAATGTTTCTTCTTCATATGAAAGTATATATGATGTAACATTGAATTTTAAAACTTTTTTCCAGATGAATTGTATTTTGATGATCTTGATCTTGATGATTGTGAAAATTTTGGCAACGGCAATGAAAATACAAGTGATACAAACAATGGAAATGAGGATTTTAGCATGACCGAGACTTCGTCATTTATACAAGGCGAAGGAATTGAAGAATTTATGTCCGAGACCTCAGCATGAATGCGCTCCAACTCTTCTTAATTAAGAAAATATTGATTTATCTCAAATAATTTAATTTGTCGACATGTTCTTTATCCACAAATGACTTTTAAATGATGGTTTTATTTTGGCAAGCATATTCGTATAACATATGAAGTTCTCTTGTTTAATTTTGTTAGATAAAGTATTTTTTTTTTGTTATTTTAATCGTTTTAACTGCATATTTGATTAGACATGATTTAGAGTTTGTGCTATTTGGGATACATATTGATCTTTAGTTAACAAAATTTTATTGTTCAATGAAAATATTTAATAATATATTTGATAGGTATTGACCCGCCGGTTGAACCACTAACCCATTGACCCGTTGTATTGTCCGGGTCAATGTCCGGGCCGAGTCCGACAACTATGCTTCCCACATCTAATCTCCTACAAGTGCTCCTTCCTTGCACTCAATCATCTCTCTCTAAAATGGCAACCCTTTCTCCTTGCCTAAACATTGACAATGAGAACATCTCGAATTCTTCACAAAATACAATGAGTGAAGTTTCTACATTTTCCGCAAATACGAAAAGAAAGTTAGTGCACCATTAGAGGATATCATAAATCTGCTCTCCCCAGTATTTATAAATTCTCTACAGTCAAATCAACTTTCATATGATCATTGTTTCCGCACTAGTTTGATTTCTCAAGTAAATAAAAAATGCAAAAGAAGCCAATTCTGTGCTTCAATGTGGAAGAATACAGATAATTTCACACTGAGGATTGAGGAATCACTTTAGATAGCCAATTGGGAAATTATGCCTCCCTTTGATTTTACTATTAGTAGATTAGATGATTTTTCTTAAAATTATTATGTCACACCTATAGACTACAATATTTATTTGATTTTGATGTAATATTACAGGAGATAATTATTTATTTAGTTTCCTGTTTTGATTTTTATTTTAGGAAACATGATCAGAGTGTGATTTAATAACTTGCATAACATTTATTTTCGTAGTTATGATTTTTTGAACTCTATATAAACGGCTATGCGATGTAAGAAAATAATATTTGATTATAAACTAAATTGAATTTCTTCCCCAATTTCTCTCTTCCTTTCCTCTCTCCTATTCCCCCTTTGGTAGGAAAAAGTTCAATCCAAGAATACTAGGGGGTTTGTCTATTTTTTCAGAGAAAAAAATGAAACGACAAATCTCCTTATGAGGGTGAAAATCGGCAGAAGCATTCATCGCCTTCTTCACCATTCACCACCCTTTTTTATTTTATTTTTTTTAAAACTTGGCCTGGGGCTGCCCAAAGTTCAGCTCAGGCATGTGCCTGTACTAAGCCTTCACTGGGTCCGCCCTTGCCTTGCATCACACTTATTTATTTCCCGACCATCTCAACCATATAAACACCACCAGTAGCCACCAACGATCACTTCCCACCATAGCACCGTAGCCTACTCAATCCATCACCATCTGTCTTTGCCTCCATCCACTGCTACCATACCACCCTCCTGTCGCTACTGTAAATTCAATCTAACCACCACCAACCCATCACTTATCAAACCTACACAGGACCCAACCACCAATCATCACCTTCACCATCACCACTATAACGCTATTGAAGCTCAAATTACCTTCAGTTCTCGTCAACCACTCTTCCACACTGCAACAGTAGAGCCACCACTATTATAAAGCTAGAAAATCACAAACTATTACTCTTGTGCCTATTTATTTTGCGCAGTGATACTACTGGAGTTTCTCTATCCTTGTTTGCATAGATTTTTGGGATGCAATTTACTGTGTTGAATTTTTGGAACATTATCAAGCAATCCACTTGTCATTTGAATTAGATTTGTATTTTCTTGGCCAGTAGCAATTGAGAAAAGCTTTTGGATACTAGTTTAGACCAAATTTTTGGGACTGGACTTTGTGCACCACTAGCTGGCTCGATTTGTATCTCGTAAGGTATATTAATTTTGCATTTCGAAAGCTTTACTTTTTATTTTGGTGTTTGTGGTCAGTTAAATATCACATTTCCAAAAACAAATGTCGTATCATACCTTTAACAACTATAACACACCCATTACTCCTTATCGTGATAGTGTGCATAACATGTCTTATTGTCAATACAGTAATCTTTCATCCAGAAATTATGTTGACACCATTCATTATTCTTCTAGTAACGTTCCATTACAATTATATGACTTTGATTGTCTCACTAGACCTAACTCATTTCTTTGATCTAGCAACGATGCTGGTGTTGGAGTTTAATGTGTGGTTACTGTGGTGGTGGTGGGTTTGCATTGATGTGGCATGTAATGGTTGTTGTGGTGGTTTTACAAGGTTTGGTGAGGCAACGGTCATCGTGGCAGCAATAGTGGTGATGGTGGTCGTGGGTGATGGGATGGGATGGAGGTGTTTGTGACCAATTATTTAGTTGATTGTGACCAATAAATTGGTTAATTTGTGACCTAAAAAATGTAGTTGTGACCCCCAATTTATTAAGTTGTGTCCGTGAAATTAATTGTTACCAAGTAGTTTGATAATTTGTAATTGATAAATGAATTGTGAGCAATAAAAGTTTTGATTTTGAGACTGATGAATAATTTGTGATCCACAGAATTTTTAATTTGTGCTCGAGAAATAATTTGTAACTAATTAATTCGATAATTTGTGAACAAATTATATAGATTTGTGACTTGAAGGCATTTGTTGCAATAAAATTGATGCAAATAATAAAAAAATGTCTTTGAATGTAATTACGGTATAATATTAACAAATAGAAAGTTTTGCTATAAATTTTACAAATTTTTGTCATTAAAAGTAGCTAAATGCACCAATATCCTTAATTTAAAATAATCAATCATGCCTTTTGTACTATATTACGTAACACTTTACATGACAATTATTGGATTAGAATTTCTTCAACTAAATAATAATAAAAAAAAAACTTTCACACTTTCTTTTTGACACCTTATCTCTGTATGTAAATCATTATATAACTCTTTATATACAAGTATTATTATTCAATTTTTTATTCTTCCAAAAGTTCATTTACTATTTCATTTTCATCTAAAAAATTATTTTTTCTTTCTCATTCATCTAGTCCTGCATAATTATCATTAAACTGAATTTAATATTCTCTTGTGTGAAGTTTTCTCTCAGAAAAGATTCAAAAAAAAAAAAAATCCATCTGCAACCAACAAAATTACACAAATATTTTTACATTTTTTTTAAGTTGTAAATTATTCCAATACAAAATTAATAAAATTAAATTTAGTTACAAAATAACATGTAATCTAAAAAAATTACTTTAATGGATCATTTTCAGTTTTCATTCAATGAACATATCATCAATCTGTAAAATATTATGTGAATGGTAGTGTGCAACAAGCATTTTTCTTATTGTAGAATCCACATTACATTAAGTCAATTTGAAAATTATCTATTATACTGCAGCGAAGCACGATATTAAAGTTTTCAACATAGTTTAAATTAATTGAGTATTCAAAATAATTAAGTATAAATTAAAAATAACGATTTTATATGCTTAAGATTAATTGATAGTAGAAGAGGCTCAGAGACTGAGAAATGGGTACTTGAATAAAAAAAAAAATGTTGACTTTTGTTGAAGATACAGCAAATCATTTCTATAGTTCATAAAAAATTTTGTGATCAAACTTGAGCCAGTTGTAAATAAGAATAAACTCCACATTCGCGTCTCAAGAAAACTTGCCCCAATATAGTAATAATTATATATGTATATATAATATATGCTATGTTAAATTAAGAGCTTATTTAATTCATATTATTTCCACAATACATTTTTCTATTTCTTTTTTTTTTAACCGCACATTATTCAATAAAATATTATTACACGCAAATTCAGAACGTTTCCTTATTTTTTAATCACACATTCTTATCAATCTACTATTTCAAAATTCATTCTTGAGAAATAATGGGGGCTAAAACAGGTCTTAAGTGTTTGAGATTTGAAGTTAGTTTGGCACAATGATTTGAACTTGTGGGTACGTAATAACTTATTAGCATGAACACCTTCTTTTTAAAGCGGAAATATTTCTAGCTTTCGAGCATGTTAGAGCATGCATGACTCGTTACTCATTTGGATGATTAAGTAAAAGATTATATCCATTCGATTAGTATAGTAAAGTTGTTGAATCTATTTACTCAATTATGCATGACTCTGACTTTCTCATCCAATTCCATTGTAACTTGCAATTCATCGACATGAAGGTCATAATTTTATAGTGCTTAAAACAATCAATTTAAAATAAGAATTTTTGCGACTACACCTCTATTAAGTTATAACATCCCCATAGTAATGTAATTACTTTGATCCCAACAGTATGACTATAGATAGATTTTACTGTATAATAACTAATAAACATTTCTATTTTTGCTAAAAAGAAATTTAGCAAGAGAATGACTAGCTTCACGTTCTTGATGTTCCTTATTCTGCTCTTGCTTTTGTCAACAATAGTCATAGCTTGCCCTAATAAGCCAACAAGGGTGGCCAAAGAAGCGTTGAAGGCTTAATTCGCACATGAAAATGCGAATCTAAGTTATCAAGAGTGGTTTGATCAAGTTAGTCCTGATCCACATCATCATTTCGAACACTTTAAATAGAAAAATTGCTGACCTCGTTTTTTGTAACGGTGACGTGGACAACAATGTCTAGTCCACTCGAGTCCACGCAAGCAAATTCAAACACTTTTTGATCGGGAACTTGGTCAAGGAGGTTATCATATATGGACATGGAAAATGCTCTATGACACGAGACAAAAATGTTCAGACATTGACAACATATTTAGGGGCGATTGCATAATAATTATCAATCACTAACAACTCAATTAAATCAAGATAATCTAAATTCCAACAAACAGGAGCGTCGAAAATCAAATGAGAAGACAAAGAATAGCTTTAAGTATTTAGAGTTGAATTTACCTTAAAATGATATAAGAAGGGGATATTTATAGTGTTGCACATGAAATAGTGTCTTTTGGATGA